GCCCCACAATTGTGTTTTTTTTCTTTCCTCACAATTGTTTTCTTTGCAATGAAATCCTCTCTTCCTCCCAACAACAAGAAAAAAAGTTGGGCTGTATCTAAAGCTTTGAGTGGTCGCGCTAGGCACGTTTCCCAGCATATATTGAATTCAATTTTTTATTATTATTATTATTTTTTAAGCTGCCTTCTCCTCATAAGGGGACAGCCATATATTTTTCTCTCACCGCACATATTACTATTTTTAACTGGCGTTGTGCCATGTCAACACGGAACATATCTTTCTTTCACTACCTACGTACCACTAATCCGAAGGCTATACAGCCCTGTCCGCCCTTGGTTTTGCACCCAGGTTCAAACATATGGTGGCGGCCCTGTATCAAGCAGCGACCTCACGCCTGAGTGTTAACGGCTATCTCTCCCCTCCACTTGCATTGGGAAGGTCGGTGAGACAGTGTTGCCCTGTCGCCCCGTACCTAGGTCGGTGAGACAGTGTTGCCCTGTCGCCCCGTACCTCTATCTCATATACGTTGAGGTCATGCGCGTCATCATCCAGGCGCACCTGGGGATTCCCAGATTCTTGCTACCCTCCAGGGAATGTCTTGAAGCCGAGTCCTTTGCGGATGGCTCGGTGGCGTTCACCCCTATGGACGACCAAGAGTTCGAGGCTCTCCGGCAATCCATGACACTTTTCTGTGAGATCTCCCAGGCCAAGGTTAATTGGGCAAAATGATCTCTCCTTGTTCCTCCTGGCCAATTCTAACCACGCAGTGGCAGCAGCCAGAGAAGCCTTGCGACCGTGGGTGGCAAGACCGGGTGTGAGCCTGTTCGGCCGTTCCCTGGTCCTGAACAATTCCATCTGCTCTACCTTCTGGTACCAACGGGCGATCTTCCCACTGTGTCCCCCTGCACAACAGTCGATTAGGCATTTGGCAACCCATTATTTGTGGAAAGAAGAGATGTCTGGCGCGCCCTTACTCCCCAAGGTGGCATGAGAAGTGGTTACCAACCTAAAAGAGAGGGGGGGGGGGTCTGTTCTCCACCCGCCGTACCAAATCGGGGCTCTCTTGTCCCGGTGGGTGCCGTGGGCCATCTTAGCAGGACCTTTCGCCCCTTGGAGACAGTTTAGCAGATTTTACCCTCTTTACTGCATGGGACTGGAAAATGAAGCGATGTATTTGTATAGCAGCCCTTCACCCGGTGTATCTAAGGGAACGGGTGCCCCACAGCATCTGGGCAGGAATACTGAAGGAATGGTGGCGCTGCTGCCCTCATCTGCGTCCACGTCTATCACAGGCAGACCGGATAATGACCCAGCCGTTGTTTCATAACCCCTGCATCCTCTCTCCTGAGGGCAACCCGTTCCCATGTTTTGGGGGCGTGGCCTTCGGTGACTTGTGGATGAGCAGGGGAATTGGCATGGTGGCTGATATCTGGGACATGGACTGGAAACCCCTCCAAGATCTGGCTCCGCTGCTGTCGGGCCTGTGGCACCAGGTACTCCACCTTGACTCGCTGCAACAAGCAAGCAATCCCCCCCGACTGGGTGCAGGCCCTCCGACGAGAGATTGTCTACTCACAAGGTGCCTGGTTTACGCAAAAACAGGATCACGACCCATCGCTCATGTGGCGGGTCGAGTCGGTAAATAACCCAGATCATCCGTTGACCTCGCGTTGGGACGTGTCACCGTTGACAAGAAGCTCTTCGCTGGGCCCACCATTGACTGCTGCTCCGGCCCAGACTCCTCTCCCGCCCCTTGCAGACTTGTTGCCGGTGTGTGTCTTGGATTACTCCGACCTGTTTCACCCTTCTCCTTGTCTGTGCCGTCAAATAACCTGCCTGTGGACCCGAGGAACTGGCATTGGCCGCCCACTGAGTCATGCACCGACAGGATCCCTTTATACCGGTACAGTACTCACATGGGCTATCATATCAGATCTCCCGCCCGAAGGTTGATGTTAACTGGATAGCCACCAAGAGATCGATGTCCTCCACATGGATTCAAGACACGCACATGATATTGTCTCGGGCCCTTCAATCCTACTGGAAGTTGCTGATGGAGAATTGCCTGTTGTGAAACAAGCGAGGTTCTTATGGCTGGTGGCACACATGGCTGTCCCGGCTGCGCTGTGGCGTGCAACAAGGATGCCGAAGGCTTCTTCTCTTTGTGCCCTCTGCCCGTGAGTCCGCATTGAAAAGTTACAACACTTTTGTCTTCACTGTGATCTGATGAGGCCATTTTGGGACTGGTGGCGCTCTAGAGCTGTCCCATTGCCACAGCCGGGAACAAAATGCAATTATACTGTTGGGAGCTGCTGAACACAGGCAGCATTGCAATGCCTCAATCACATATGCGGAGGAGTGCCTGCGTGGCGCAGTTCTGTGGACTATGTGGACTCTTAGAAAGGCTGCGGTGCAGCCGAGAGGTGAAAAATTGACAGCCCTGATGGTTCGTGTGGAGACCAAGTACACATTCAAACAGATGCTGTCCACTGCGTGGTGGCTCAAAGTGGTCAGTAAAGGTTTTTCAGCAGAGTCCCAAAAAAGATTTCACAGTTATTGGGGCTGCTTCCCGGGCCTGGTCAAGATTTCAGCCGACCCTGGTCACTTTCGGATTTCTGTTTCCTTTGTGTGCTGGTTCTGTGGTAATTTTGTAATGGTATGGCAGTTGGTTCATAGCTACTGTAGGTTATTGTTTCTTGTTGTCTGTTTTAGCCTTAAATTTGACTTTAATTCGCACGTTTCTTTCATAATAGTATAGCAGAATGTCCTGTGGATATTCTGCAATATTTGCCTTTTCCTGGGGTCACTGTGACTTCCCCTCTGGGTTCGGCCGGTGATGCCGTCCCATTGGGGGAGCACAACAACATTGTTTTTGTTTTTGTTTTTTTTTGCTGCCTTCTCCTTTTTTTTTTTTTTTTTTTTTTTTTTTTTTTTTTTTTTTTTTTTTTTTTTTTTTTTTTTGAAAGAAAACTTCCCGAGCGGGTGATAGGGGTGCTGATAAGAGCAGGCACAGTACCTTTCTCGGCCTTTTGGCTAAGATAAAGTGTAGTATCTGTTCTGATCAGTTTAGTATCTGATCCGTGGTCCATCGGACCACACACACACACACACAAAAAAAAAAAAAAAAAGAGCAGGCACCACTATCACTGTCGGGGGGCTCCATCTGTTGGTGCCTTCTCCTCATCGGGGGACAGCCATATATATTTTTCTCTCACCTCACATGTCTTTTTAACTGGCGTTCTGCCATGTCATGGGACTCCGGGCCCAGTTCTCGGCGCTTGTATATAAAAACTGCCAAATTGTGCTTGAGAAGAAAATGCTCGGAGTGCAGAGAGGTAACGGCATGTTTGCCCCTTTGCCCCTTTGTCCTAGCGTTTAGGGCGCAGGGTTGGGGCTGCAGGGCCGGGGCCCGGCTAACACAAGGACCGAGCATTTGTGCCGCCTCCCTTTTCATCTTCCCCCACCCCCATCGAGTAACAGTAGTGTCTAAAGCCAACAGTCTCCCACACACCACACGCAACCCACTCACACGCTCACTCAGACCCGCGTTGGCTGAAGACCTTACTACTACGGTCTTCCCCCGCACACAACGCACCCTCATTTTGACTGTATCTGGCCATTTTGACTGCATCTGGCCGGAAATATAGCTTGTATACATTCATTTTTAGGGTGGGATATGTTCGGGGGAAGACGGTAGTAATACCGACTGGGAGGATCCAGCTGACTATCTCAGTTGGTTGGTAACCTCCCTTCACCGAAGAGAGGTAGAAAGCTATGTGCATACAGGGGTCCCCTGTATAGCCTTAGGAGTAGAGGTAGGTAGGTAGGAGGGTGAAAGAAAGATCTGTTCCATGATGACATGGCACAACGGCAGTTAAAAAATATATATATATATATTGTATATATATTTATATATATATCGTATATCTGAGGTGAGAGAAAAAATATGTGGCTGTCCCCCGATGAGGAGAAGTCAGCTTTTTCGGGAAAAAAAACAAAAAAAAAACGAAGATAAGAAAGACAAAACAAAAAAACGCAGGGACTCCACGTGGCTCGCTGGCTGACTGGCCGGCATTGCAGAATTGCAGAGGAGAAATGCAGCGACGTCAGCGCTCGCTGTGTGGCCAGCAAGTCACGTGAACGCGACTTACTCTGGCTGGATTTGCAGAGGAGACAATGCAGGGACGCCACGTGAACGCCACGTGGACACGCCCTGCGCAGTCGATCTATTGGGCCAATGGATAGAACGCCCCGTAATCATCGCCGTACCTGGACTGAAAACTGCACGATATACAGCTATAATGACCGGGGTCGTTCTACTCGGGTGAAGACGGTAGTGCTCGCTGAGTGGCTGGCTAGCGAGTCACGTGAACGTCACGTGAACGTCACGTGAACGCGACGTGGACTAGCTGGCTTTGCAGAGAAGACAATGCAGAGAAGACAATGCAGGGACGCCACGTGCGCGCCACGTGGACACGCCCTGCGCAGCCGATCGATTGGGCTAATGATCGCACGATTTGGGGTGGGTTCTTCCAGTTAGACAAAACATGTCCTCCACGCCCATGGAACAACATGCGGAGCTTCGTTGGTTGATAAAGAAGGGAAAAAAAAAACATTGCGCAATGCACTGTGTGCCTCATGAAGGTTATCTCACGTAACTGAATTCAACATGCAAGTTATGTTACGTACTGAATTCAACCCGTCTCAACTGCCAGCTAAAAAAAACAGATTTAAAAAAAAAAAAGAAAAAAAAAGCGTAACCCACTGACAGAGAGCCGCGCGACGTGTGACACGTGTCACCCAGGACGAGCGAGGCGTTGTCTACGTACTACAGAAGTACTACCCGTCTACAGAGTACTACCTTCTTCCCCTACACGGTAACTGTACAGTGATGGGGGACAGCGGTCGGGAGCGAAGGGGGAGGAAGGGGGGAGGAAGGGGGGAGGAGGGAGGGAAAGGGGTGCAGTGGCGGACGAATTAAAAGCCCTGCACGGTAACTGTACAGTGATGGGAGACCTAGTCCTCATCTACTACCGTTAGTGGGGGGATGTAGGGGGGGGTGAGGGGGTAGGGGCGGAGGAATTAGACGCCTGCTTGATGGGAAGCTGAAAGAGAAGGTAATGAAGGACGGCCTCGACTACACCCTCCCCCACTGGTCCATACATTCTGTTCCCGTGATAACAGGAGTAATGAAAATCGCGGCTGGTGCAGCTGTCCATGTATCGTGGAGCCTCTACTTGCCACGTGTCCAAGTAGAAAACGTTTTGAAGAGATTGCACGAAGGTCCGTGCGAGGTCGTTCGCGAAGACGAAGTTGGAATTGGTCCGCATTTTGCACCCGAACTTCGCAGTCGGCCACGTGGTCGCGCTGCGGAACACGATGGGCACTCCAGGTCGATGCACCGCAACAGCCCAGTCCAAAAAGGCGGGAAGGTATTTGGCCCAAGCTCGTTCCGGCTGCAAACATCTGTACCAGGTCCAATGAGCGGAATTGACAAAGACCGCGTCGGCGGAGTGGGAGGTGTTGGGGAAACTGTTCCTGCGGTAGGAAAACTCCCCCCTGTGGGTGCAGCCAAACTCGCCGTTAGCGTAAATACCATCAACCCAGTAGTAGTTAAGCCGTAAACGGTGACCGTTATCGACCTGTACGGTGTAAGTGAAATCGCCGTGGAACTTACGCTTGGCCTCCTCCCCTCGTCCAGTCAAGCGGTAGTGAAGGTGCGCGTGAAGGCCGCGGTTATGCGAGTCGCCGATGAAGTTAACCTCGCGGATGCCGCGCGCATTCAGCCTCCGCACGATCTCCGCAGTCTCCGCGGGGTCGCGGGGAGCGCAGTCGTACGCTGTCCATCTGTAAGTGTCATTGCCTCCTCTGTCTCTTCTCCATCGCGCGTGCATGGCCTGGCCTTCGTCACACGGGCTCATCTCACCCATCCGTCCTCCGCCTGGTTCATCGACGGCGGCGGCGGCGGCGGCGGACTCCACCATCCCTCTCCTCCTCTCCATTTCCCCATTATCAACAGCCATTAAAACCGACGAATGGGACGAGGAAGAAGAGGAGGAGGAAGAGGAGGAGGAGGTGGAGGAGGAGGAGGAGGGGTTGTCGACAGTCAGATTCCACTTGGCCACCTCCGGAGAGCGGTCGCGATTGTCATACCCTTGAGTGTAATTAAGGTTCCAGCAATCAGCCCGAAGGATGGCGGTGTAAACACCCGCGTCCCAGGGTCGGTAAAGCGCCAGGAACGCCGTGGAGTCCATCGGGTCGGGCGTGACTCGCGCTGCGATCAACGAGTCTCCGACCAGTGTGACCGTGAGCTCCTTCTTGAAGAGGACACCGTTCTGGTACTCCGACGCGTTGAGATCCCAACTGGCAGGAGCGCTGACGCGGATGGAGAAGGAGCACGTCAGTCCTACACGGCATTGCGCGCAGCCGGCGCCGTAGACCGCGACCCCGTCCATCGCCGTCTTCCCGCCATATCCTCCGCTTGCCCCAGAAGACCAGCAAACCTGGTAGTCGGGATCGGAAGAAGAAAAAGAAACACGAAGGGGAGAAGGAGGAAGACGAGGCAGAGATGGCGCAGGAACCCCATTCCCGCCTCCTGCATGCCTAGACTGCCGACCACCGCCACCACCCTCAGCAGCCCCTCCTCCATTCGAAGATGACAGCGGGGTTAACTGTGATAACGGCGAAAAAGATAACGGTCGCATCAACGCTGACGGTGAGCGTAACGGCGGGGACAGGTCTGAAGTTGTGGACTGATTGATCGGAGGCACAAGGCTCTCCTGCGCACTCGTCTTCTTCCTCTCTCTCCTCTTCTCTCTGCTCCTGCTCCTAGCAGATGCATCATCATGCGCCGTCACCGTCGTCTCAGGAGAAGGACGACGGACGCCCTCCCCCCTCCTGGTCGATGACGGTCGAGAGGTTGGTCGGCTATTCGATCGCTGGTTGTCCGCACGCTCAACGTGGCGGCCAGTGAGAGAAGCCACGAGGAGAGGAGAGACGAGGCCGGATAAGAGATCCTCTCTGTAGATGGGTGAAGAGGAGGACGAGGCAGAGAGAGAGCCCTGCAGAGAGTCTTCCCCTCCGGATGTGCTCCTCCTGCCCGGGTGAAGAGGAGGAGGCAGAGACGAGACCGGAGAAGAGAGCCTTTCTGTAGAGGGGCTGGTGGTGACCGAGTCTAACGACTCCAGACTGCCATAGGTCGAGATACCGACCGCGACGCCAGCGTCGTCCCCATCCACCTCGACGGCTCTCTCGTCATGACCGAGGGCTTGCTCTTCCTCTCCCCCCCTCTCCCTACCTCCTACATTCTCTCCTCTTCCCACCTCTCCTTGCTTATCGTATCTCCCTCGCTCTCCCTCCTCCTCCTCCTCCTCCTCCTCCTGCTTGTTCGCTGCCAACGCAGGAGAAGAAGAAGAGCTCCCTGCTGGTGCTCCGTTCTGGCACTCAACGTCTGCAAGTACGGGATCGTTCCTTGCATCCGACGTGGCGGTCCTATTGATGTCCCCCGCCGCGGCAGTGGAGGCCGACGAGAACGAGAGACTTTTTCCCGCCACCGACCCGCATTTGCCCTTCACCTTTCCCGCCACCTTTTCCCGCCCTGCGTCATCATGGCGCCTCTGCTCTCTTTCCCCTCTGCCGCCCAATGAGGACTCCAAAATATCGGCAGTCGTTGAAGACGAAGATCCTTTCTCCCCCTCCCTCGATGCCCACGTGGGCGATAATGACCGCCAGATTCCGATATTACGCACAGAGTCCTTTCTAAGAGACCAACAGACAGAAGCCACGTAAGACGCCAGAAGCATCACGGCAATCGCGCGGCAAACATTTGTGCTGCTCACCGAGGCTACCGTCGATACACAACGGCCCCCTCCCCACCCTCCTCCGCCCCCGCACACCACCATGGCTCCCTACTCACTCGTTCCCTCCATTGACTGACCGACTAGATTGGCTGCTCACTTGATTGACTTCCTTGATTAGATCCCCGTTTACAGCTTGCTCTCTTTTTTCTTGTTTTTCTTTAAGTGTACTGTCCATAAACCTGTGCTTGATTGATGATCGCATATGTTTATTCACGATCCAATCATCCATAAACCTGTGCTTGATTGATGATCGCATATGTTTATTCACGATGCAATCATCCATAAACCTGTGCTTGATTGATCGCATGTGTTTATTCACGATCCAAAATCATCCATAAAACTGTGCTTGATTGATCATGCATGTGTTTATTCACAATCCAATGAATCACATCACATATCATTTAGAGAGTGCAATCGGCCAAACTACCGTCATCGTTATTCCCGAGAAGAGATGTCGACGAAGACTGTCCGCAGAAGAAATGTCAACGAAAACCTGTGCTTGATTGATCGCATATGTTTATTCACAATCCAATAAATCACATCACATGTAATTTAGAGAGCAATCGGCCAAACTGACGTCATCGTTATTGCCAAGAAGAGATGTCGACGAAGACTGTCCGCAGAAGAAATGTCGAGGAAGACCTGACACACACTTAATCCCCTCCCTCCGCCATGTGTGTGCTCTTTCTATCCTCCCCCCTCTCCCTTGCTGCCCCGCACCCCCCGGCCCCCTCCCATTCCCAGTCCCGCCCCACCCCGCCCGTCCCACCCATTCCGACCACTGCGCCCTCCCCGCCCAACTCCGCCCAACTCCGCCCAACCGCCCAACCGCGACCAACTCCGCCCAACCGCCCAAACCGCCCCTCGTGCCCACCTGCGCCCAATGTGGTATCATGTGCGACTTTGCGGGACACATGGCGACCGCGGGGCAACGTCCATGATTTTGTTTTATTTTTTTTTAAAGAAAAAATTACGCTATATTCTTCTCTCAAATCTTTCATCATCTTTCAAATTCTTTCAAGTCACCTTCACTACCTACCGACCACTACTCCTAAGGGTTAGGGCCTTTTCAAATTCTTTCAATTCACCTTCACTACCTACCGACCACTACTCCTAAGGGTTAGGGCCTCGTTCGACACTCCTCGGGGCCCGAAATTCCCCAAGGAAATGCTCGTTCCACTCATCCTCGGGGAAGACGTGGAAAAGCAAATGTGAAAACATTTCCTCGGGGATTCCTGGGGGCCACAGCCATTTTGGCAATTTCTCCGAGGGACCTCGGGCAGCTCCTTCGATGACATTTTTCAATTCCGTCTGGTCCATCGGTGGTCCTGCCTGCGTCTCGACGGACATGTTGGGTCGCCAACGTTCGGCTTCACTCCAATGGTTACCGTTTGCGGGCAACCGGCAGCCCACACGCCCAGAAGGTGCCGTCTTGCGTCGTCGCGTTTGGCAATCCGCGGGAATGTCCCAATGGTTGGCAGATACGAATATTTCAGGCCGCACTCCAGCTCCCAATTACGCACTGAGCGTGGGAGACCGAAGACGTCCTCGGGGGTTTGTTGCGAAGTCGGGACGGCCGTTTGCAGCACTGCGCTCCGCTGTTATGTTGGCGCCCGCATTGTCTTCCGTTTGCTGCCGTCGTCGTCGACTGTTTCATGGCTGACGTGTTCCGCAGGCTGCCGCTGCTGATCCTCATTGTCCTGTTGCTGCTCCTCGTGGTTCTCTTCCGCGTGTGCATCCTTGGGAACGTGCCGCCGCATCGACGCAAAAGAAGGTCTTCGATGAAGGACGCCAGGATGGAGGCACGGCAGGCGATCCCCCGGTCCAGTGGGGAGCAGGTCGGAGGGAGGCGGTCTGGGGGGAGCCTGTCGACCGTTGGCAGGGCCTCCCAGCGGGTTGGGTATGATGCATTGCCACCACACTTGCAACCACTCGCCGACTCGTCGGACGAGGAGGAGGAGGTGGAGAGACGGCCACAAACCGTGTCGTTGGGCAGCGGATCAACGCAGGAGTGGACGGCCACGGAGCTGTGCGGGACGGGCGGCGGCGTGTACGAGCAGTCGTTCACTGAACTCCTTCGGCCTGGCCTTGGCGAAGACGAAGGAGATGGCCGCGTCAACCTGTCGTTTGGTTTGTCCACCGGGCGGTCTACAACTCCATCGCGCACAGTGCTCGTGCGACCCCACCCCGGCGCCGAAGGCGGGCAATTGACAGTTGTTGATCGATCAGCGAGGACAAGGGCATTGGCGAGTGAGACGGCGGGAGCGAACCGGAACTCGTCGACGCCCCAACCACAGGCGGCCTCTCTGTCCAAGGGCGCCCAGGGTCGGCCGGAGTGGATGCAGTTGCCATCTCCCCTGTCTCCGGCGTCGGAAGTGGCACGAGGCCGTGGCGTCGGAGTCGACGGCGGGACCAACTTCTTGGATGTTGGTAATGGTCTCGACGGGAGGGAGGTGTGGAGGGACCTGCGGCGGGATCACCGGCTGCGGCAAGAGGAATACATCACACGGGGGGTGGAGCATCTTCACGTGGGAGACCGGGAGAATGAGAACGAGACGGACAATCCACCGGCGGAAGTAGACGACGACGACGACGATGACGACGACGACGACAACGACGTAGAGTGTGGGGAAGGGGGGGGTGGTCACGCGTCGCCATCGTTGCAGAGCGACATGGCTGCTAAGGGTGGGAAGTCCAAGCCTTCCGTCCGCAATGCTCGTCCGCGGGTGAAAAAAGGGCAGGGAAAGGGGAGCGGTGGCGAAGGCGACGGTGATGCGGAGGAGAAGCGCAACTTCTGGTCCGTGGAACACATTATAGCCCTCATAAGGGCTAAACGTGACCAAGATGCGCATATGCAGGGGATGGGCCACACATACGCACGGATGAAACCGCGGGAATGGAAATGGCAAGACGTCGCCCAAAGGTTGAAGAACGTCGGCGTGAACAGGAATGCGGAGAAATGTGGGAAGAAGTGGGACAATCTAATGCAGCAGTTCAAGAAAGAACGTGGCAGACACCGGTGCGTCTGGCGGCGTGGCAGACACCGGTGCGTCTGGCGGCGTGTGCCCGTCTTACGTGGATCCTGAATCGGTGGCGAACGGGGAAGGAGGTGCAGGGCGAGAAAACGACGAGGAGGGGTCGACGCGAGGCTCTTCGCAGACGACGGGCACCCCCTGCGGTTCTGGGAAAAGGAAGAGCACGAGGCAGCAGATTTTCGAGGAGCTGACGAAATGCATGGAGAAACACGGGGAGCTAATGGCGTCGACGATGGAGAGTGCAAGCAAGCGGCAATGCTCTATCTAGGTCCGGCAGTGCGAGGCGTTGGAAGCGGAGATGGAAGTGCAAAGGAAGCACTATGCCACGTCAGACGAAGTCAGCAAACTCATGTGCCACGCGTTGTTGGAAATAGCGAAGGCCATTCGTGAGCGGCCGAGCAGCTAGGAAGTGTGTTGTGCAATTGTGGAGTCCCTTGATGTCGGGGGCGAGTTGTTGGCTGGTTTCCCGTTGCAATCGTGTTGGTAGGTGCGCCGTCGTAGTCACGGCGAGGCTTCGTTGCGCGATCCCTGTACGCTGTTGCGGGTCATCTATGGTAGATCGCCATTCGTGCAATTTAGTGTTGTCGTTGTAAATTACCTGTAGTGCTTAGAATCTTGGGGACATATAGTCCCGTCATTGCAAATTTGTAACGTTGGGTGGAACAGTGCGGGAAGCACTTGCCTTTTTTTGTACTTGATGGTCTCTCTCTCTCTCTCTCTCTCTCTCACACACACACACACACACACACACACACACACACACAAGCAGAGCAGAATGTTTTGGTTTGTCATGACGTGGATTGAACATGTGTTATGGAGATGGAAGTTGTGGTCTTCGCTGGTCTCCGATCAATGAAATGGATGATGATGTGTCCACTGTCTTCAAAATGTCGTCAATGCACATGTCGCGGTGGCACGCGTTGCCGATTGTAATCGAAGCAAGCATGTGAAAATAGGACATGCCGCACCTTTCATGGTTGTCTATTTTCAAATACATTGTTTTTTTTTTTTTTAGTTCTTATTGAAGTTTTGCTATTTTTTTATTTTGAATGTCGTTGTGGTGTGTACCTTATTGTTTTCTAGTCCATCTGTGTGTTGTGGGAGTCTGGACGGGCGGTGAGTGGGCGAAATGTCAGCGGGCAGAAGGGGCGGGGGGGGGGGGGTGGGTTATCGAAGGGGGTCCTGGATGACGCGGCGGGGGGCAGGGTCCCTTTCGATTGTCCACGGAGATATCCATTTTTTTCAAGCCTGCATGGACGGAGGGTGTCACATCGCACTCCCACTCCCCGTCGATAGTGTGCTCCAGGCCATCGTCGTTCAGCGAGAGTACTCGTCGCACTTTCATCGAAAGGTCACCGTCGCATCACTCCCAGCCACCGTCCACTGCGCTCAAATAAATCACGAGCACGGGCCACTCATTCCCAAACGCATTTCGAGCGCGCGCATGGATTGCGAGCACTGCAGTGGACTGCTTTCTCGCCGCGCTCTTCTCTGCCTTTCGCGCGCTGTTGTGCCGTCGCCTGCTCCCGCTGCGCAACTTGGTTAACAGGCACTGTCGTCGTCGACCACGTACCCATCTGCGATGCGCGCCGTCTACCATCTCTGTCGTCCGCCAATCGTCTTGCTGTCTTCGTCGTCGTCGCCCTGTCGTCACCTGCCGTCCGTCGGTCGTCGTCACCGCCCTTGCCGCCGTTCGTTGTGCTGCCATTCGTCGACGTCGCCCTTACAGTCATTCGTCGTCGCCCTGTCTGTCATTCGCCACCCTGTAATCCATCCGTGTAATCTTAGCCGTCTGTTCCATTCTCTGTCTTCCATTCTCGCCGCCCTGCAATCATCCAGCCGCCGCACGGTGTACTCGTCCGCAAGCTCTGCGAACCACCGACCACGATCGAAGGCGCTTTTTTCGGATCCGCCATGTCTTCCCGCAGAGCTGGACGGGGGAAGGCTGCCTTGAAGCAGATCGTGGAAGGCGCGACCCCCGTGAAGAAGGGACGACATCAAGCGAAGAGGCAGAGGAAGGTCGTCCAAGCCGTGCCCGCTGGCAGTGCGCGAGACGTTGTGGAAGAGGCTGTGGTGGAGGAAGAGATGACGAATGATGACGACGACTTTGAAGACGATGACGATGAACCACTGCAGAGGAAGGCGAGGGTCAGCTCCCGGGGGGGGGTTAGAATAAACGAGGGGGGGGAAGGGACACCGACCGCACGGCGCGGCGGTGGCGTTGCCGCGGCCAACCAACCAGTCTTTGTCGACGTGGCACGCGACGTGGTGCGAGACGTGGCAAGGAGGGACGTCGGTGGCTGCGCGAAGGAAGGGGCCGCCTCGCATGAGACTGCGCAACGCGTGCTTGCGCCATTGAATCGCCCCCGGACCCCGGCTGCAGACGTGGCGGGGAGTTCCCAAGCAGCGGTTGAAGGTGGGACGTTGAGATCTCCCGCGGTGGCGGCGCGTGGCGGCGCTGTGGTGGTCCCGGGAGAGGCGGTTGAAGTCCCGAAGGGAGGAGATGGCGCGGCGACCAGGGAAGACGACGAGGCTCTGGTGCACAGGCTGCGCGGGCAACGAGCGGCGACACATGCGATGGATGCCGCCGCCAAACTTTGGGAGGATGACAACAGATTCTGGAACGACACGCAAGGGAGCGCCATAGTGAGGATAATCCAAGAAGCGCGCGCGTATCTCGTAGCCCTGGCGCGGGGAGTGCAGCCTCCGGCTATTCGACGGAGCATCTCCCTTCCACACAACTCCATCCCCCAACACAAAATTGAGGACGAGTCGGAGCTCAACGCGGCGAAAGAGAGGGCGTTGAAAGTGCAGACAATCTCCCTCAGGGCGATCCACGGTTGGGTCTTCAAGTCGGAGAGCAGGCAAAGAGGGTATCACTTGGCATACCAATACGCGTTGAATCACGCTGCCACGGACATCGCTAGAGAAATGTGGTCAGCAGAGGACTGACGCAGTTTGGTGAGCCCAATGTTGTTCCGCACCACGTTGGACGTAGACATGAAGTTGCCTTTGTGGTTCGTGGGCTTGAACATAGTGGACAGGCACGAGGACGATGAGTGCGCGGCTTACCAGGAAGTTTGTGTCCAACGTCTGGTGCGGGATTTACAAGCGCAGTTGGCACGGCAGAAGCTATGGACGGCGGTCGAGTGTCGTACGAGCGTCTGAAGGGGATGGCAGAGGCGATGAGGTATTTGCTCGCCGCCACGATGTGGATTATGCGAATGGCGGGGGACGATCCGAGATCACATTATGACGCTTGGGTTTTCGTTCAACTGACGGCGAAGACGACGCTGCTGGCGTCCATGAACCGGCAGTTCGACGCCCGCCGACACATCACGCAATCCGCGCAGGTCATGACAGACAAGTTGGGGAGACCGCCTCCGACCTTCGCCCCCCCACCTGCGTACATCCCCGATTGGGCGTCTAAGTGCGGGGTCACTTTCTCGCACGACGCCACGTTGGCCTCCCCGATGGAGGCGAAACGGTTGGATTGGCTGGGGACAGGTCCCCCTGAGGACGACGACGACGACGCCGAAGGCGATGACAAAGGCGAGGGGGGGTGATGCGTAGACGACGGTGATGGCGAAGGCGAGGAGGGGATGATGCGCAGGCCCTGTTGAGATGGCAGGTACAAGAGGAAGGGGGGAGGGGGTGTTTTAGGGGGGGTTGCTTCGGGGGGCGGGACGCGGGAGGGATCACGGGGGAGAAAGGGTTTGTGGCATCGTTTATGACTGTGTTCGGCGCAGGACGCCATGAGCGTGCGGGGTTTGTTTGAGTACCGTGGGAGCGATCGTCGTACAAGTGTTGATTTCTGGTCGTTGATGACTGTGTTCGGGGCAGGACGCCATGTGGAAGTCTTATTGGCAACTTTTTTTTTTTTTTCCGTTGGATTTGGGCATGCCACTGTTCAAAGGTGGCATGCGTAGTAGAAGGTGTGCATTGGTAGCGCAACGAAATTTCTTAATGGGTGATGTTCTTTTTTATCTTCGCAACRATGCATGGTCTTCTTTTTTCATTCCATCCATCACTTTTTTTTTTTTTTTTTTTGGAAAATGCATGCACGGCGGCCCGGCGGGTACGGTTTCATCTTTCATTGTCTGTTGAATGTTTTTGGCGAAAAAGTTATGTGTCATGGTTCGTGCGTATCGAACGTCCAATCCATCCTTCCGCCTCGGTTCGTAATTAAAAAAAAACAAAAAATAAAATTTAGAATACACAAAAATAAAACAAAAATACAAAATACAAAAATACAACACACCACATTGGAACGAGAGCGGTAAACGAACAAGAAACGCAAAGGTCGATGCAGGCAAAGCGGTGAACAATCTTCGAAACGAAGAACCAAAACAATTGTGTTGCAAACCCATGCAATAGCAGCTCCCTTCAACATAACAACAAGAGAAATGCGGAATGAACTGTTTTTTGCATACACCGTTGTGAGCGAAGAAAACTCAAATCTCAAATAGGGATTCCCCTTAGAATGCGAAAGTATTTCCAGGTACCAGCAACGTTGCATTGTTTACAATCAAACCCCTCACCCCACCCTCCCCCCGCCCCCCTCTCGCCCGTCGTCCCCCATCATCACAAGTACTGCACGTTGCACGCATGGCACGTGCAACCCCGCCACGCGCACCCGCCTAACGGCAATATCCGAAAGCACCAACTACACTACCTGAGCGAACAATAACGCTAAGCTGCCCGTACTCCCTGTCCATGGACAAGGCAAAAAACCAAAAAAAAAAAAAAAAAAAAAAAAAAAAAAAAAAAAAAAAAAAAAAAAAAAAAACAAACTAAAAACCAAGCGACAACGTACATAAGCCAGTCGTCGCCACTCAACACTAGACAACTAACCGCACCGACCAGGCAAGACACGCCGGCCACATCTCGCTCGAACGACGCTACCACGGCCGGACTGCCATCGTCGAACGCCTCTTGCTGTGGGACGGCCACCTCCCCTTCCTCCCGCCACCGGATCTCCTCCGTGCTCCCAGACTCGTTCCATTCATGGCGGTGTCTCCAACTGCGAACACGGCCAACCTCACTGCACAATCATCCGCTCCGCCAACGCGTCCCTCAATATCAGCGCATCCCCCGTCGACGACTCCATGCACACTGGCCTCAATGGCTGATGCATCCCCAGATCCACTCTACGATGCACGCCGTCTTGACCCACCTCCCACATCAGATTGTCGTCAAACGAGACGCCGACGTCGATGAGTATGTTGTGGAGGATGCAGACGGCGACGAATTGTTGCGGCAAGCTGTCCATGTTGCACTTGTGGGTGCGGAGGAACAACCTCCACATCCCCTTCAGTCTGCCAAACACCCTCTCCACTGCTTCCCTGGCCGTCTTCTGTTTGTTGTCAAAGCGTGCCTCCGTCAGGTGTTGCGCGAGACCGCCATAAGGGATGACTATCCATTCCGACTGCGGATAACCGTTGTTGCCGAGCAAATAGCCATTAGTCCGCACACCGAAAGGCAGCATCACATGTGGCCCAGTGAAAGGCTGTCCTGACTCCGCGCGCACCCATGAACTCGACAGGTTCAGCATCCTCATGTCATGCATACTCCCCAGATAACCGACGAAGACGTCCAGCACACGCAAGTTCATGTCGACCACCACTTGCGCCTGCACGGAGAATCGACGTCTCCTGTCCCAGTAGTCCTCACTGTTGGCGTTCGCGGGTTTGTCGATGTAGATATGTGTGCAGTCGATGCACCCATGGCAGTTTGGAAACCCCTTGTCAGCGAAGGCGCGCAAGACGACCGCCTTCTGCAAACCTGTGGGCCATGATATCTTGTTGGGGTAAGCAGTCAACAACGCCGCCGTGACTTCACGCACCGCTGTGATGCCGGAAGCCCTCCCGATGCCGAAGCTACACGTCCCGCTGTCGTACGTCTCCCCCGTGGCCCACCTGTACAGTGCATAGGCAATGATGTGGTCTGGCTGCAAAGGCACCCTGTAGAACGTCACACGACGTTGAAGGAGTGGGGAAAGAGTCTCCGCGATCTCGCGAAAAACACGAGGCGACATTCGAAGCTTCTCCTTGAAGTAATCATCCGTTGCGTCATCACATTGCCGCAGATCCTCCCACGTGCCGCCCGTTCGCCGCTTCACCCACCACCGTGGAGTCGCCCTTGAAAACCCCCCGCACCCCATCGCGTAGCAGACCTCCAGCACCGCGTCGGAAATGGCAGCCACATCCAAGCACTGCCCAGTCGTCGAAAGCGCCAACAGCTTGCGCCGTGCACGAACAACCGCTTTGAAGTTCGCGTCATTGCTCGCCATTTGGCAGCGGAAGAGGACGGCGTTAACCACCGCAGCAATAGCCGTCCTCTCCACCGTCGTCAAACCGCTGCGCCCTGCCCCGCCGTCAGCGTCCATCCCAAACGCCGCTTCCGATGACATCACGTCAATCAAACCACTGGACTCCACAAACACCGCCACGCGGAAGATCACAACGTCGGTGGCTGTGCAATATCTTGGGAGCCACGCACTGACGATGGTCGTCTGCCTTTCCCAAAGCTCACGTATCGATGTCGTCTCCCCTTGCCGCCAACGAGTACATGACCGTGCTCATCGACGACAACCGCAGGGGACAATCGTCACTTATGCGAACGTCACGAACGTCAGTCGCAGACACAACCAGGCGTGAAACGTACGTCCTCCACGCGCCGCCGATTGCAAAGCCTGATTTCAAATTTCAAATTTTGAACACGCGCGCTGTGCGCCATTTCCAAGGGCCCCGGTTTTGTTTTTTTCTCGTTTCCTGCCCTCCTTCGAATTCGCGACGGCCAACAAAGGTGGACCACCGCCGTCTGCACGGACACAACTCGGTGGACCACCGTCAACCCCACCCCTGTGTCCGTTTGTGCATATATCAATCGGGGTCGCGGGAGCCCCGAGGAATCGTCCTCGGGGGTCGACTCCGAGGATGAGTGGAACGAAGGCGACAATTTCCTCGGGCGACTCCGAGGAATCGTCCTCGGGGCCCGAGGACGCCCCGAGGAGTGTCGAACGAGCCCCTTATATAGCCATCAGAGGGGATGCATGGTGGCCCCCGCCCCAGCGGCCTAGCTCAGTTGGTTATGCACGCAAGTGGCATTCACGAGGTTATGGTTTCCAGCCCCACAACCACCTGCGGTGCACTTAGTGCCAAGTGATAGTCCGCTTGATACCTCTGATCGGTATTATTAGAAGGGTCCTTGGCCAACAGGGGTTGTGTGTGGTGTGTGGAAGAGTGTTGGCCTTAGACACTGCTGTTATTCGGTTGGGGGTGGGGACAATGAAAAGGAAGGCGCAGCTATTGGCAAAATGCTCAGTCTTTGCATTAGCCGGACCCCACTGGCGCCCCCATCCCATCCTCGTCCATGAAAATTCATCACATCGTAGATTTTTTTTTTATTTTTTTTTTTCCCCTAAGGGCATACTCACAAAATCTCCAAATCAACAAGCTATGTTCCCCTGTATAAGCCTTAGGAGTAGTGGTAGGTAGGTAGTGAAGGTGAGTTGAAAGAATTTGAAAGATGATGAAAGATAGTGAAGGTGAGTTGAAAGAATTTGAAAGATGATGAAAGATTTGAGAGAAGAATATAGCGTAGTTTTTTTTAAACAAAATTTTAAAAAATCTTGAAATCACAAAATGAACGGCCAGATAGAGTCCTCTTCTTACAAGCACTCAAATCAGGGCGATTTTGTTATTTTGAGGGCCTGTGACGCCCAAGCTCACGCCCTGCGCGACTTCCTGATCGGAGTGGGATGGGGGCCCGGAAGTGCGAAAAGGGGTGTGCCATGGATTTTAGGAAAATGGGGGCCGAATCTCAGGTCGGAACTGAGATCTCCTGTGGCAAGCTCTAGGGGTATCTATGCAAGATAAGCGCAGGTCGCATCGAGCCTTTTAAAGCTCGGAGGGTAGATCACCATCCCCGCGGGTTTCGTGGTCTGGGTCTATTCCGTATTTGGTGTACCAGCGGGATGCTGTGGCTGTCATGCTGTCTGAGTAATTGTTGCTGACGATTGTCACAAGTTTCAGAATCTGACGTGGCAGGCCTCGGTCGAAGACTGTGTGCCCGCTGCTCGGTTTCGGAGAGGGTTCGTCGGGTGGACCCTGCAGCCCGGTAGGCGTGGTCCTGCTGGCACTCAAAACAAGGTGGGTCGCGCCAATAAGGAGCAATCGCACGCCAGGGGGCGATCGTTAGGCTATGGAATGTTTCAATGATGACAACGCCGGGTTCCGCGATAATCTGACACATGGGCGGGATGGAACGACGAAAAGGGTAGGGAATGTCGTTTAAGGCTCACCCGATGTCCCACTGACAAACACGCTCCCGCCCCGTTCGATAGGGGAATTCCGGGAGTTTGGCTTTGGGGCGTGTAGAGAAGTGCGTGCGCTCCCAATATTTTCGGAATTCCCGGTCTCTCAAACACTCGCGATCGGTAACATGGAAGGTCTAGCAGATCCCCTGTCATTCGGGAGGCAGGTCGCAGGCAGGTTTTGCAGACACACGTGTAAGCGGCGGCCCTCGGAGTCGAGTTTACATGTGTGTGCACAAGGCCTGTGTGTTATTCTCCGATAATGGGTTCGGTCGGGTGTGCCTAAGGGAATTCATCCATACATCTAACATGCCCATCCACTTTCCCTTCGAAACACCCATACGTTGTTACATGTGCGTATAGCCGGCAAAGATCGCGCAACCAACGGTCGATCGATCATTCTGATTACATGTTCAAACGGACCAAAAGACGTATTTCCTCTAAAACTCGTCATCCATGCATTGGTCGAAATTCAGAGGTTGGGGGCGGGCATATGGTCAGTCACACGACTTTTTAGTCTATATTGCAAAAGAAGGAAAAAAATAGGAAATCGACAAGTATGCATACATCACAGCACTCCAGCCAACTCGACCATTCATTCACACCGTTTTGGCCAAAAACGCGCCGAAATTGGACACAGACGATTATCGTACTCAACTTAACTCAATAAGCTCGTAGGAAAGGAAAAGTTGGAAAACAAATCAGATCACTCATCAATTACCCACAAGAAAAAAATCCGAGTTAGCCGCAAACAAAAGATGGCTGGCGCCAATTGTAAAAATTACACAGATGAGGGGAGAAGAGACACCATCCCAACACATCCTCTTTTTTTTTTTTTTTTTCTCTCTCTCTCTCTCTCTCTCTCTCTCTCTCTCTCTCTCTCTCTCTCTCTCTCTCTCTCTCTCTCTACGTCACCTCCAATGCGGGCAGTCTGTCGCCTCACATCAACATAGAGTTGTCACCCCGCTTGGCCCGAGCATACCAGCCAGGTTTGCCCGTGCGCCATAGTCCGTCGCGACCCGAACGTCAACCCCGCACGCTCAACACCAGCTCGTCGGATCGCCCAACTCTCTCGTCTACTCACCTTTTGAATGTACTCGTTAGCCGATCCTCACTGATCGCGCTAACTTCCAAATTCATAGAGAGACAACTAATCGCGCTTGCGGAATTTATAGCATGCATGCTTGCGCGAGAAACCTGGGATTATGCCAAAGTGAGAGGAAGGGGAAGAGAAGGAAGTGCCTACATCTGCATGACCAGGCCGCGACGTGGGGGACGTAGCCACACTCCAGGCATCGATCCGGTCATGCAGTCACTCAAGCCAACTAGGATGGAGGACGAGGGATGCACGACAGAGAGGGAGAAGGCAGGAGAAACATGAGAGAATCAAGAAGAAAAAGTTCAGTTACAATCGCGTCCGCCAAAAATTACGGTTACACACAAGATTAAGGGCGCGATACAGTAAGAGCCCAGTCTCCATCGCGGCGAGACGTGCATCAGCAAGAAGCGCGGTGCAACAAAAATTTCTAAGGTTCCTAAATTCCTGTCTAAATCCTAATTTACAAAAAGAAATTCTGAAAGGAAACAATTCCGAGAGCCCACGGGGGCTCGACATCAGTTTGAAAATTTGAAAACAACGTTCCCGCACGACGATCACACCAAATTCCTTGTTCCCACGGCAGAACAAGAAAGAAGTTGTGGCAACAGTTATCCTTCCGCGCCTGCCAAGGCGCGATCGTCTTAACTGCTTACCCGGGACTTTCCTGACCTGGTCCAAAAATCCAAAAAGAAAGAAGTGAGGGTATCCATGCAACTTGCCCGGCCGACCCATCCCCATGTTCCTCGCCCGACCAACCCGTCCGAGCCCGTGAAGCAGCTTCACGCAGAAAGTCGTGTGGTTACGGGAAACAGTTCGTCACATATGTGACGCCCATGGGGTTCCAATCTTGAGCAAGCTCCTGTTTGCTCTTTCAATCGCTCGTCGATCCTATGCGATCGACACGGAGTTGACACGTGCCACTTACCGTAAGATGAGAGTGTGAAAGTCATCCAGGTGGCATTCGTGACTCCGATCTAAAGGTTGTCGGGGAAGGGCAGTCTGATAACGGGAGGAGGGAGGGGAGGGTGAGCTTGGGGGAGGGGTGGTAGGAAGCGACTCCGCTCCCGATCTCCAGTCGGGAGCCGGGTGCAATGGATGGCACGATGTATTGGGGGGAAGCGGTGATCCTGGTCAGGGAGGGAGACAATGTAATCGGGATAGAGTGTGCACAGGGTGCGGGGGATCGCGGCACGAAGATCCTCATACCCTTCGCACGCGGGGATTAGCCCCAAGATTATACAATATATTTCGATATTGTTGAAATCTCGCTATGTCGTGGTGAAGAGGAGGACGTGGAGGGGGAAATGAGTTACGATGGATTGAGTGGAGGCGTGCGGGAAGATGGTGACACCAAGACGGGTGGAGTAGAGCTGGTGGAAGAGGGAAGGGGGAAAAGGATGCCAGTTGGAGGAGAACGGGGGCCACCCTGCGATTTCGTGGATGGTGAGGTAATCAAGGGGACGGCGGGATAACGACCGGGGACGAAGCCCAAGTGCCAGCATCTCCACGTAGGCAAACGGTGGGCCTCTCAGGTGGAGGGGATTGAGTCGACGTTGGACCTCTTCTGCGGCGTTTGCTTCTAGATCCCTCCGCGGTGGCGATGACATCTCCTCCGGATTCTTCTTGCGGTACCTCTGGGTTGCGCGCCAGATCGTCTTGCATCAGCCTCGCGGCTGGTTCGTCCGACTCCTGTACTGGGCGCTTCCCTTCTGCCCTCTCTCGGCTCTTTTGAGCCACTGCTTCATCTTCCTCCTCACTCTGCTTGCCCGAGTCGCCTGATTCGCCCGATCCACTTTTTTCCGACCCGATTTCCTCCGATTCACGATAGGTCGGGTCGTCCGATCCGGCCTCCGAGTCTTCTTCTTCCTCGTCCGTGTCTTCCCTCTCTCCCTCCTCTTCTACTTCTTCCTCTTCTTCTTCTCCCGTTCCCACCTCCACTCTTCGGATGATCGGATCCCACAAGGTGATATCGGTCACATCGATGACCAAATAGTCACTCGATGAAGGAAGGTAGATGTTATCGTCGTCGAGTTCGATACACGTGGACCACAATAGTTGTGGGGCTAAAGTTCGGGAGAGCGTCGCGGTTGTGGATTGTTTGTCGTAGTGTGAAAGGATCTCCAGAGGTAGATCGTCCACGAGCCAGGCAAGGAACACCAGCACTTCGTTCGTAATTGGCTCGAGATTTCCGTCGCGCACCTTTCCAAAGAGTAACCCCAGTAACTCCCCCTCCGTGTCTGTCCTCCAGGCTTGGGCGATCAGTAGCTCCACATCATCATCGAGAACTTCATCTTCCTTGTCTTTATCTGCCGTCTCGGCCCAATGAAATACCCGCTCGAGAAGACAAAAACTGAGCGCAATGTACGCGTGCCACCACTCCACCCACTTGCTCGCGTGCAAGATTGGTACGTTCAGCCGCCTGATTCGGAGGAAGGAGAGGGAAGGGTCTGTAGTGGACTGCTAGAAGATAGGGAGATCAGAAGGAAGCTCGAAGGTCGAAAGGCGGTGCCGGTTCATTGAGGCGGTGTAAAAGAGAGAAGCTGCGGAAGGACGATCTCCGGCTCGTCAGGAGAGATCCGGAGTTGGTTGAGATCGATGTCATTGGTGGAGCTGATCTGATTGTCCGGTTGGGCTAACAGTTGGACCCAGGCGGCCGTGAGATCCTGTGCCCAGAGTTGCAGCTGCCGGAAGACGCCTGTATGAGCCGCCGGATGCAGGGCCGTAAGATCGTCGGTGAAGGCGATGATCACTGTCACGTGGCTGACACTTGGTGGAGACAGCCGACACCTCGGCCAATACTCTTGCTCGCTCGTTGGTTCGTGTGAACCGAAACTCCATCGCTGCGTGGATGGCCACCGTACTGAAGAAAGCCGCGAATCGGAGCAGATCTGGACTTAATCGTGGTCGTTGCACCTGTCGTATTGACGAGATGTGCCCTCCGGGTCTCATTAGAGATGGGGGAGAAGGTGGAGATGAATGAGGGAGGAAAATCAGAATATTCGAGCTTGAGGTCACTCTCTTCTTCTTCGGAATCGAAGGAAGATGCAGACGAGGGGAGAGACAGAGAAGGAGGTAGGGGACGGAGATAGGACACGTGTCGGATGATCAGTCGAGCCGATCAACTTCCCAAGATCTCTGGCGCAAGCCTCATTATGTTCACTCCGCTAGGACCGAGCTCGACTACGTGAAATCGCTCGAAGAATTGTGGCTCTATCTTGCCTTGGCGACTACGTGACACCCGCGGCCTAGGCCGCGTGCAATTCGGCCGCCGCGACCGAAAAAGTCGGCCGCGGCCGCGGCCGGTGAGGTTCTGTCCGCGGCCTGTTTTTTTAATATTTTTTTTATACCCCTAAAAATACGTGTATATATATATATATATATACAGGGTCACCACCATCCCGTACGTACAGAGGTCCCCCGGGCAGACCTTCGTATGTACGGGCGTTCGGGGTCCCGTACGGGGTCCGAACCCGACGGCGTTCGGACCCCGCCAAAAATTATTTCGGGGCCTAAAAATAACTATTTTTTTCTGAATTTGTTTTTGTGAGTTCTCTATGACGTGAGGTACATGCCTGTAAGGTTTCAAGTCATTTGGCTAAGCCAAATAAAAATTAAAAATCGCCAAAGATGGCGGTGTCAAAACATGCTCGCCCACGTATTTTTTCACTTTTTACTTTTTGTTTTCACTTTAGTTCGGGGTCTAAACAATTTTATTATTTTTTGAACGTTTTTAGTGGGTTTTGAATTATGTGAAGTACACATCTGTAAATTTTTAGAGCATTTAGCTATGCCAAAGAAAAATGAAAAATCGCCAAAGATGGTGGTGTCGAAAACATGCTCACGCACTCACTAAATTAATTCTCTTTTTATTTTTATTTATTTTTATTATTAGTATTTATTTTCCATATTTTATTTTTATTTCGAATTTGGTAAGGAAATCGGATTTAATGCTCAGACAAATCTTGTTTAATTTAGTTTTCTCCATAACATATCGTTTTTTCAGATTTTTTTGATGAACTTTGTTTTTTGGATCCGCGTTCGGCCCAAACGGCCGAACGCATCCCCAAGGGGTCCCATACGTTCGGGCGTTCGGGTTCTGGCGTTCGGCCCGTCCCAAACGCCGGTTACCCTGTTTGTGACGATATATATATATATATATATTGTCCTCTTCTCTCTCTCTGCCTACGGCTTACCGGACAGTTCTGTTTGTGACGATATATATATATATATATATCGTCACAAACAGAACTGTCCGGTAAGCCGTATATATATATCGTCACAAACAGAACTGTCCGGTAAGCCGTAGGCAGAGAGAGAGAAGAGGACAACAAACGAGGGGCTGTGACAAACTGTTTCGTCGGAGTTTCATCGACTCATCAGGAGGCTGAACCCTCAACAGTCTGCATAATCCCCTCACTAATTACACTGTAAATGATAATCTACCTTAACCAAAATCAAAGTAGACTATCACTCACCCACACCAGATGAAAAACTCTACATATATATATATATATATATATATATATATATATATGGGGTTGTAGGGCTTGCAAAACCCTACAATCCTATATTTTTTATTTTGGAATCCGACCTCGTTTGAGATTTTTAAAAAATAAAAAACGAAAATTAATTTAAACAAATTATTTAAAAAATAAATAAAAAAAAAAGCAAGAATTTTTTTTTTTCATTTTTTTTTTCATGAGGGATATGGTCGCTGAGTTGTCCTGTATTTTTTTTAGAAATGTTTTGTGGGTTTTTATCGAGAAATTAGGTGTCAAAAAAAAAAAAAAAAATGCAAAAATTGAAAACAGATAAACAAAAAAAGGGGTCACGCTGGGGTTGGTGTGTGTGTGTGT